GAATTCTGGGAGTTGAAGTCCACCCATCTTAAAGTGGCCCAGGTTGAGAAACACGGCTTTAGCCTGATCCATTCTTCTCACCCAGGATAAGAGTCGGCCAGGCTTCCCCAACCCCTTTTTGCTTCAGAAGCTGAACTGATCATTCAGTTGGGTGAGAAGATTTGGCGCATCTCATGGGTTTCTCTCTCCGCAGCGTTTGGCTGGGGCCACACTTCTCATCTTTGCCAACAAGCAGGACCTGCCAGGAGCATTAAGTCCCAGCGCCATCCAGGAGGTAAGGACCGTGGCAGTTCCCAGGAGGGCAGCCACCTCAGTGGGGGGCCTGGAGGGCATTCCTCGGGCAGTGTTCCTCAACCTTGGCAACTTTAAGACATGTGGACTTCAACTCCCAGGATTCCCCAGCCAGGCTGGCTAGGGAATTCTGGGAGTTGGTCCATGCATCTTCAAGCTGCCATGGTTGAGAAACACTGGCCTAGTCCCTATTATCTGTGTCAATAGTATGGAAGGACCTGCAGATAGAAAGAAAATTTCTATCAAATGTAATTACGTACATTCTTTTTAAATGTTTGATTTTGATCTGAAATCAAAATTTTAAATCTTGCTATAGTATTTTTTTCATTTTTCTCCTATTCCCTAGAGTTATTTTTTTTGTTTTGTTCACCACATATATATTTATATAAACAATGTCTGTGTTTTGTATCTCTCTCTATATATTTATATATAGATACCCACACCCATGCCCATTTAGAGTTGTTTCAACAAGATGGGCGGTGACAAATTTGATAAATAAATAAATAAAAGATAGATAAAAAGATGGAAAAACAGTTATCAGACTGTTAGTTGAACCTGGAATCAGATTATCAAATTTGCTGCTCCACCAACGCAAAGCTGATTCCCAGGCGGAGCATTGGCGAATGGCACAAAGTCTTTGCCCAGCGTCCATTAGGCCCGGGGTGGGTAATAAACAATGCCAGATCATCAGTGGCTCCTCCCATTTTAAAGTCCGACGTGGCACCGTCCCAGCCACTGAGACCCGCTTTAGGCACGGTTGGTTAAGAAACCACAGCTTAGTGTAGCTGTTCCGCTGGCCCTGCTTCCCCCCCCAAATGCCCTGTTTGCCCCCTCCAGAGGAGACAGTGAGCCCAGACAGGATCATCAACCCAGGGCAGGGAGGTCAAGATGGTGGCCACGATTGTGCATTCTAAGCCCTGCGCAACGCATGCAGCCGCCATCTTGACTTTTTTTACCGCTTTGCAGGCCCTAGGCCAGGTTTCAAGGCTTTGGATGGGTCCCCGGGCCCCTCAAGTCTTTGCCGGCCTTGCACGGAAGGGGATTGCCCTGCTTTTTCCCTTTCCTTCCTCCCCAGGCCCTGGACCTTGACAGCATCCAGACCCACCATTGGTGCATCCGTGGCTGCAGCGCATACACCGGGGAGAATCTGCTGGCGGGCATTGACTGGCTTTTGGATGACATCTCAAGCCGGATATTCACTGCGGACTGAGAGGATCTACAGCGGTTTCTGAACCTTGGCCACTTTAAGATAGGTGGACTTCAACTCCCAGAATTCCCCAGCCAGCGTTGCTGGCTGGGGAATTCTGGGAGTTG